CCTCGCCCTCGCTCGCGGCGGCGCTCGTCGGGGCCCTCGCGATGTCGGCGACGAGCGAGATCCAGACGGAGGGCGCTACATCGAGTTCCGCGAGTCGGTCATGCGCATCGAGGGGGCGACCATCCCAGGCCAGCCGCCACAGGGGAAGAGAGCTGCTCGCGAGGCGGCCCTGGCCTTGCGCGACGGCGGTCAAGGCGCGCGGGGGATCGTCGCGCGACCTGGCCCCGCCGAGCGCAGCAACGTGGCGCGCGCGCGCGCGCCGCGTGACCCGCGCGGCGATTCTGATAGTGCAGCAGTTCGATCAGCTCGACCTGCACAACGCGTCAAGCGCAGAGTGCCTCATCAGGCGGCTCAAGCAGGTCGAGGCCGCCGTCTGCCAGAACCCTCGGGCCCCCGACTTCGATCGAGGGCCTCGCCCTCGTCTTCGACGCGGCCGTGGGCGACGCGCGCGGCATGGTGCTGCCAGAGTTCGAGAATTCTTTACGCTTCGCGTATCCCTACCAGCCCGTCCAGAAACGACGGCCAGGCGAGTAGAGGGTCGTCCTGAGGGGCTTTTCGGCGTCTTGGGTGCCTCGGGGGGGCCTCTTTGGGCCGTTTGGGATCTTCTTGGGGGCCTCCTGGGGGCCTCTTGAGGCCATCTTGGGGCCATCTTGGGGCCTCTTGGTGCCTCCTGGGCGCTTCTTGGGGCCATCTTGGAGGAAATCGATCAAAGAAGAGGGGGGCTTCAATTGGCGCTGCCCCCTCAGAAGGCCAAACTGGGGCCAAAACCTTAGTGCAATCAATGATTTTGGTTTCTAAGAAGAGGGGGGCTTTAATTAGCGCTGCCCCCGCAGAAGGCCAAAATGGGGTCAACACCTTGGTAAAATCAATGATTTTCGCTTCAAAGAAGAGGCGAGCATTTTTCCCCCCCCCCCCCCGTCGGGGCCACGATCCTTGTGAGGGGTGTCGAATTTTAGCCCTCCCAGGAGTCGAAAAAGACCCCTCCAACGACCCGCGAAAGGACCTCTCCAGGCCCAGGGGGAGGGGGTAGGGGGAGGGGTAAACCCCTCCCCGAAGGGGAAGAAGGGGGTTGAGAACAGAGCGGGCTCCCTAAACCACTCACGCCTAAAGGGCTGGTGGGATTGGCCGGGGGGCCAGGCCCGCGCTGGGGCTCAGACCACGCAGGCGGATCGGTAGTGGCAGGAGGGGAGAAGACGGCCGCGCAGCCAAAGGCCCCGCCCGAGGTGGCCGAGGGCGGCGCCGCCAGCTCTGGCGGATAGCTCGGGGCCGCGCGGCCCCGTTCTGGGCTGGGCATCTGCGGCGATCCGCCCTGCCCAGGGCCGCCCCCGCGCTCTCCGTATGGCGACGGGCTCTCGCGCTTCTCGCGGGGGCCCGCCCCCGCTCCCGGCCTCGGGGCCTGGCCCGCCAGTTGACCTCGGCGGAGCGCCGCGATGCTTGCGCCAGCGGGTGCTTCAGAGGCGCTCACGTGAACGCCGCGTTCGGGGGGCTGTCCGCTCGGTCAATGGCCCCGCCCCCATCGCGGCGCGCCCGTCGGGCCGCGGGCGCGGCAGCGCGACCGATTCAAGGTCCGCGGGTTCGGCGATTCGCTCCTCGCGCTGCCGACAGCGCGGCAGGTGCGCGGCGGAGCGTGACCCTCCCCCGCCAGGCCTGCGCCCTCGCGGAGCCTTGCAGGAGCCCTTCAAGTCCGACTCGCTCTCGCCCTGCACGGTCGCCCCGCGCGAAGAGTCCAAGCTCGAGTTCCGGCGGCCCACCGTCGCGCCTCGCGACGCGGAGGAGGTGTGCCCCAAGTGCGCCGCCGACGCCGTCCGCGACCCCGACGCCCCACTTCATTTCATTCGCGAGCCCGACCGCGTCGCGGAGCAGAAGGTCGAGCACGAGCCATCGGTCGCGCCGCGCTGGGGCGCGCGGCTCGCAAACGACCCCCATCTTCGTCGAGAGTTTCTTAGAGGGCTTGCCTCCCGTGGCCCGGTCGGCTTCCGTCGGCGCATCGGGTCGCGGGTCGGGCGCTGATTCGCCGAGAAGAAGTGTGGCTGGATCAATCGGCTGGTCGTCGACGCTCGCGACGCCCACCGCGCCCGCCGCGCGCCGCCGCGCCCCCGGGCACCCTGGCCGCCCCCCGCGAGCAGGACTGGTCCGACGCAGCGCTCGAGGAGGCTGGGGGCCTGAGCGCCGATGGTTCATCGCCTCAGATTTCCGGGGCCTCGCTCGACTTCCAGGACTCGTTCTACCTGTTCTTGTCGGGCCGGCTCGCCATGGACTTCGGGGTGGACTTCAAAGAGCGCGCGTCGGTCTGCGGAGTCTCGCACGTCTGTGGCCCTGATGAGCTGGTCTTCCCGGACTTCTGGGGTCGCGATGGCCTGGTCCTGGGCGCTCTGGGCCGTGCGCTCGTCCGTCGCGTGCTGGGTTTCCGAGGCGCTGCCGGGTGGCGCTCGTCGGCTCCTTCTCGACGAGCGGCCGGCCCCCGTCGCGGCTTCGCAGCACCCCGCGCGCTCCGTCTACGCGGACAACGCGTCGCCCCTGGGCCTGTCGAGCGCGGGCGTGGACACCGCGCTGCAGGCCGCCGCGGCAAGGTCGCTGGGCGTCGCGCGCCACGAGGTCGAGGGTCTGTCCACGAGCTTCGGCTACGATGGGCAGCGGAGGCGTCTTCGGCACTCTGATCATCGCGCCTGGCGCCTCTACGTGGCGCGTCGCGAGCCCGGGCGGCCTTGGGCACCGCGGGCAGCTTGGCAGATCCGAGTGTTCCTCGGGCACTGTGTCCAGAACTGTTTGCTCACTCGGCCCGCCCTGGCCGTCTTCCGCCAGCTGCGCCGCTCCGCGGGGGCGCAGGCCGCGAGGCCCCCCGGCGCGCTGTCGGCGGCGGGGGCTCGTCTCGAGGCCCAGCTCTCCGCGCGCAGTCTCATCTCCCCGGCCGCCATCTTCGTGAACAATCCGATGTGGAACCTGGCCCTCTGTTCCGACTCTTCGGAGGCCGCCCGCGCCCTGCGCCGTCGTCAGACAGGTGCTCGACATCTGCGACAGCTGGCCGCGACGCGGGGGCGCTGCGCGTTCGTCCCCGACGAGAAGCGCCCTGGCCAGTGCTGGAGGACACCATCACCCTTGGCTGGGCCTCTGGCGCTGGCGGCGCGCTGGGCGAGGCGCCCGATGCCGCTGCAGTATCCGCGTGGGCACCCGCGCCTACGCGGTCGCGGGAGAGCGCTCGAAGCGGCCACGCGGCCCCCCGGCCTCGAGGTGCCCGACGAGCTCGTGGATTGCAGTTGCTGGGCGCTCATCGTCGAGGGCGCTCGGCGGCGAGGCGGCCCGATTCACTTGCTTGAGGGCCGCGTCGGGCCGGGCAGCCTGCGGCGCGCCTCTCGCCAGCTCGACCGCCGCAGCTCCCGCTCGTCAGTTTGGGGGGCAACGTGTCTGAGCTGCTTCCCATCGAGATGGGGCGGGCCGTGGGCCGCGGCCCTACTTGTCTACGCCGACGCGCGGCCCCTTGCCAGATCGCCCGCGGCATCTCTCGGCGGCGACGGCATCTCGACGCTGGCCGCAATCTCGGCGACGCGGGCGCGAGGAAGGCGCCCCCGGGCGCGCGTCGCCCGGGGCGGCGGCGAGTCGGGGGCCGGCTGGGGCGGCCGGATCCCGACCCCGCGCCGGCCGCGCGCGCTAGCAGGAGCGCCGGCCGACCTCGCGCGCGCGGCGGCGCTCGCCGAGGCCGAGGGCGCCCGCGAGCAGCCGCCGCCGGCGCCGCGCCGACGTGGCCACCATCCGCGGCCCTTGCCGCCGCCGCCGCCGCGGCCCCTGGGCGCTGCTAGCTGGCGCGGGCCGAGGTTGGCCCCGCGGCCCTGCCGCGCCCTTCGGGTCGCGGCGCCTGCGCGGGCCGCGGCTGCCAGCCGGTCCGCCCAGCCTCCCCGCGCCGGGGCTCGGGCGCGCTGGACCGCGGACGCGCGTCGGGCGCCGGCCTCGCGAGCTGCCCGCCCCCGGGGGGCCTTCGCTTGCTTTCTCCGCCCGCCCGAAAAGGGACGAGACAGGCCCGTGGGCCGCCGCCGCCCCCGCCCCATCTGGTCGCCGCGAATCAGCCCCTTCGCGTTCTTGCACCTCGGCTTCGTGCTCGACAAGTGGCTCTCGAGGTCTTTTCGGCTGTGCTCGCTGGACGGGGGCCCTCGCTACGATGGGCCTCGCCGTCGCCCGCCCGCTCGACGTCGAGTTCGGCGGCTGGGGGGGCGCGCTCAAGCCCAGCATCGAGGCCGCCGTTAGCAAGTGGATCGTGTCTCGCGAGGTCTGGTTCGCGCACCTCGGGCCCCTCTGCGCCGTGGTCAGTTGCCCGACGAGGCCCCAATGAGACGTCCGCTATGCGTGCTGGGCGACGGTATCTCGTTGCGCGTTCGACGCTGAGTTCGATGGTCTTTGGGGGGCCCCAGGAGTTCTCGGTCATTCTCTTTGGGCTCGCTCGACAGGTTCCTGCAAGAACACGGCCAGGCCCCCGTAGTCTTCGACTGCTGTCGGTCTGGGGCCCCGCGCCAGGAGCCCGCCGGGATCGCGTCTGATGTCTTGGAGCTCGGGGCCCTGGAGAGACGGCGCCTCGGGGGCCACGCGCGCGAGTGCCTCCAAGGCAAGGTCAAGGTCCGTGATCATCAGGTTCGGTTCAAGCCATTTTGGCGCACGGCCCTCGCGGGGGCATGCCCGCCCGCGCCGCGGCTTGGGCCCTGGCGCGGGCTGCGCCGCCCGTGGCCTGGCGACCTGATGGCGACCCGCTTCAGCCGCCCCTCGACTCCCCTGCGGCCCGCGGAAGTGGGCCCCGCACTGGCCCGCCGACGCGGGGGCTGGGGCCGCCAGCTCGGGGGGCCGCGGCCGCGGGCTCGGCCGAGGCCGAGGCAGAGGGCAGAGGCCGCCCGACGGGCGAGGCGTCGCGCACTGAGCCAGCTGACACCTCGCGCGGCTTCCTGCATCGCTCCTAGTCGTAGGTGCGGCCTCTCACCCGGGCCCGCCACGCCGCCAGCGTGCTCGCCTTCGCCGCGACCATGGGAGTGGTCGCCGACCGCTGGGCGCGCTCGGACCTGCCTCTGGTGGACTCGCTCCTCGAGGAGTACTTCGAGCAGTTCTGCCGCAACGGCAGGGGCAAAGCGGGCGCTCGCTACGCGCTGGCCGCGCTGGCCCGCAGGTTCGGCGTCTGGCTGCGCGTTGCCGACGTCTTCCCGAAGGCCAAGGGCGCCCTCGCCGACTGGGGCAAGCTCGAGCCGGACGTCACCTCGGAGCCGCTCTGCTGGGCGGCCGCCACGTTCATGGCCCAGCACCCTGCAGGGCTTGGGGCCGAGGCCGGCCTCAAGGCGGCCCGTGGCCCCGTCGTCCAGTTTGACGCGTACGTCCGCCCTGGTGAGCTGCCAGAGTTCCCAGTTCCGCGCTGCCTCTTTCCGCGGCCGAACGCGGGGGCTGCAACAAAATGGGCCGAGTCGTCCAGGCGTCCGCGCCGGTCGCGGGCGACACCACGCGCGCCAGGGTCGCCAAGACGGGGCTGCAGGATGAGACCGTGCTGATCGACGGCCAGTCTCGCGCCGTGGTGGCGGGTTCCTTCGTCGCCCTCGTGCGCGTGGCGCAGCAGGCTCGACGGGGCCGCGTCGTGTTGCTGCGCGCTTATGCCAGCTACCACCGTGCCCTGAAGCAGGCCTCCGCCGCCGTCGGCCTGCCCAGTAAAGTGACGGCCCGCCTTCACCGGCGCGGCAGCCCGTCTGAGGACTATTTTCGCAAATTTCGCAGCTGCGCCGACGCCCAGCCCTTGGGGGGCGGGCCAGCACCCGCTCAGTCCGCATCAGAAGAGTGGTCGGGCCCTCGAAAGCCCCCGCCCGTGGTCAAAGCGTAGGCCACGCGTGCAGAGGCCAACAGCTGTCTTTTTTCTTTTCGGCGCGATTTATCGATTGATCTTCGCTTTTTGGCGCGAGGGGCTCTGGCGGCGGGCCTCGGGGCCGCGCGCTTTCTTAGCTAGGAAAAAATTACAATCACGTTCCGGGGGGCCGCTCCTGGAACATGAATTGCGGCGGCGCCTAGATCTTCGATTATTGCATGCTTGTGCTTTTTCTCAGCCGATGTTTTTCGGCTTGCCCATGGAGTTGGTACGGGATCCTTAGTCTGGCCAGACAAAAGATCAAGAACCCATCGTTATGGGTTCTTGATCTTTAGTCTGGCCAGACGTTTCGTCTGTTCGAGCTGGCCAGCCGGGAGAGTTGGCCCGCTTTCCGAGATTTGTGCTTGGCCTGCCGCCATCGCAAGTCACCGCAGGTTTTGGGCCCGCGCTCGGCGATTGAAAAGGAAGTGTGCGGTCCTCGTCGCACGTGCTGTTTTTTTCCCCTTAGGCTGACGCCGCTGCGAGCTCTCAGACGCCCAGTTGAAGGGAAGCCCTGTGATTCCTGCATTGTATTTGCTCCGCGACGCTTGCGCATTAGCCCACAGCCCATTTCCGCTGCCTCCTGTCCTCAAGCCTTTGATGCCGTGCCGCCAGCGCACCACCCTGGCAGAACGCTGGGGCGGTGAGTTAATGCAGCTTGGATTTCATGTTAATTCGGTTCTTGATGTTTGGTTTGGCCAGACGTTTCGTCCATTCGACCTGGTCAGCCGAGATGTTTGGCCCGCTCTCAGACATTTCTGCTCGGCCTGCCGCCATCGCACGGAGAATGCATCACGTAGCTTTCAACACGCAGGTGGCACGTTAGATGTTGCACCGCATAGATTGCATCACATGTCTTGGATCACATAGACGGCGCCACATGGGATGCACTACGTAGTTGTGCCGAACACATTGCACCACGCTGCGCCGCACACATTGCACTACAGGCAAATAGCGCCACGCTGATTACACACCAGGAGTGCAAGAGGCTGCGGCTTGGGTCCACGCGGGCTGACATGCTCACCGTGCATTGCAATTATCACGTATGCCTTGTTATGTTCCGAATTCCGGAGCCCATCAGCAGACTCGCACGATATTCTTCAGGACCTCGGGACCCTTTTCAGACCCGGCTCGAAGTCATTGCGGAGCCTCTGACGGGCCTTTCAGGGCCCTCGTAGTGTTTTGTCAATGATATTATCGTGACATGTGTTCGAAAATGTTGCGCAGCTTTTCTGGAGCTCTTCGGGAGCATCGTAGGAGCACCCCAGGAGCATCTCAGCATCCTGCTATTTCGGCGCCTTGCTGGGATCATTGCACAGTTGTTGGCGAGCGCACGCACCACGACGGATGTGTCTACAGGTTCACCCCCGTGCCGCCTCGCTTCCTCAAGAGGCATGTGCTTCGCCTGGTGCCTCATCTGGGCCACCAAGTGGCTCGATAAGGCGCTCGCCGACTTCGGATTTGGCCTGTCTTGTTTTCTACTCTGCTCGTGTTTCTCATTCTCGCCCACAATGGTGATGATTAGTTGGTCAAGCTTGTTCATTGAGGTTGACGGCTAGAAGAGGCCCCAGCCCCGTTGGCAATCCGCGGGGATGGAAGACACCCCCCAGCCTTCCTCCCTCCACGAGGTGCAGAGAGAGCGCGCCCGCAGAGATCTCCTGCTGGGGCCGAGAGGAGAGACTTGAGGAGGAGGAGGCAGAAGAAGAGCAGGAGGAAGGAGACTTGAGGAGGAGAAGAAGAGGAGGAGACTTGAAGAAGAGCAGGAGGAAGGAGACTTGAGGAGGAGAAGAAGAGGAGGAGACTTGAGGAGCAGGAGGAAGGAGCAGGATGGGGAGGAGAGGACTCGGCGAGGAAGCCTGCGGAGGCTGGCGGCAGCAGCATGCGGCCCACGGGCCTGGGAGAGCCGGTGCAGACCTTTTGAGAGAGCGGGAACGTCTTCGGACGAGGAGGAGGAGGAGGAGGAGGAGGAGGTGGAGGAGGAGGAGGAGGAGGAGGAGGAGGAGGAGGAGGAGGAGCTGCCCTGGGCGCGCCGGGGGCCCAGCACCGGGGCTTTTTAAAGCCGGTGGCGCCCTCCACGCCGGCCACCGGGCACCGCTTACAGTTCGCGCCCTCCTCTTCCCCCCTGTCGGGGGCGACCGGGAGGGGGGTGATGACCAGGGGAGGGGGGGGGCTTTTCGGGGGCGGCCAAGAGGGGGTGGTGATGACCAGGGGAGGGGGCCTTTCGGGGGCGGCCAAGAGGGGGGGGTGATGACCAGGGGAGGGGGCCTTTCGGGGGCGGCCAAGAGGGGGGGTGATGACCAGGGGAGGGGGCCTTTCGGGGGCGGCCAAGAGGGGGGGTGATGACCAGGGGAGGGGGCCTTATGGGGGCGGCCAAGAGAGGGGTGATGACCAAGGGAGGGGGGGAGGAGGTGGCCGGGGCCGCGGCAGCTCTCCCCGGACCGCCCGCCCCCTGTCGAATCTTCCTCGAGCGCGTCCCCGGTGGGCCGCTCACGTGCCATGGGCCCGGATCTGCTCCCCCCTTTTTGGACGCCCCCCCTCTCTGACGCCCCCCCTCTCTGACGCCCCTGGGTTTAGGGTTTTGGGTTTAGGGTTTAGGTTTTACCTTGAACCCACACCTCGGGGCTGTCCATGTGCCGACGCTTGGGAGCTACCAGCAGCCAGCCCTGGCAGTGCAGCTCTGCACGGCCAGGGCCCAGCTTCCACCAGAGAGCGTGCGGGGAGGAGGGGGGGTGGAGGAGGAGGAGGAGGAGGAGGACGGGGCCGAGTAAGGTGTGAAAGGGAGAGAAGAAAGAGGAGCATCGCAATGAGCAGGATTAGGAGCAGCAGCAGGAGGAGGAGCAGCAGGAGCAGGAGGAGCAGGAGGAGCAGGAGCAGGAGGAGCAGGAGCAGGAGGAGGAGGAGGAGGCGGAGGAGGAGGAGCAGGAGAGGAGGAGAGGAGGAGGAGGAAGGAGGAGGAGGAGGAGAGGAGGAGGAGGAGGAGGAGGAGGAGGATAGGAGGAGGAGGGAGGAGGAGGGAGGAGGAGGAGGATGAGGAGGAGGAGGAGGAGGAGGAGGAGGAGGAGGAGCAGGAGGAGCAGGAGCAGGAGCAGGAGCAGGAGCCGGAGGAGGAGGAGGAGGAGGAGGAGGAGGAGGATGAAGCTGAGCGCCTTTGTCACCAGGAACGAAGCAGGTTGGGGGGCGTTGTCCGCAAGGCATCGACTGCTTGCACCATGTCCTGGGGCTGAGTGAGGGGAGTAGACGCCGAGCTAGGTATGAGAGGAGATGTACCGGTGCTTCCCCAGACAGCCCGAAGCAGCATGGATATAATTAGGCTTTCGGAGCTCCGCGTGGATTTCTCGAGTCGGCGCTGGACCCCTCTCCCTCACACTTCGGCGCCGCCCCAGGCGCGCTCCACGCCAGGGAAGGGGTGTCGGGGGGGGTGTCCAGTGCCGACCCAATGAACCCGCGCAATGCCCTGAATGTCGGTGCTCATGTCGTTCTCGGGCCTTCTACTCCCAGCCGCCCACCATGTCCTGGCAATGCCTTCGTCTCCAGGGTCTCTAGAGAGGCCGCTCTCGTCCCAGGTGCCCTCGGCTTTTCGCGCCACTGGACGGCGCGCTCCGCGCGCGAGGGGTGTCCAGTGCCGATCCAAGAAATCCGCGAAGACCTTCAAGCGTTTATGTTTATGCAGAAGTTCCTCTTTCACCTAGGGGCCCTGCTGCCATCGATCCCTCGCGCAGGCTTCGATTCCTATGGAGAGCTTGTTGGTGCCAGGACCGCGGGATCATGGGCTCGGGGGCAAAGCCAGAGACCTCGGAGGGGGTGCACTCCCAGCGAGGCTAGGTCTTTTGAAGAGGCTGGTCCCATCGTGGGTGACGGAGAAGCTGTTTGTCTCAAAATGTTTCGGTCCCGCCTTAGCAGGCGCCCACTGGATCGGTGTATCTGATTGTTGGAATCTGCGCTGTGGGGCCTGAAGCGGAAGAGGATCGGGGGCGCCGTAATTACTGGCACGATTGTGCATGTCTCTGCTCTGGCGGATGTTCGTGGCCGCCTGTTTATCCCAGGATTCTTCTGCGCCTCAAATACAAGTTCCCCGTCGCATCGGAGGAGCGAGGGAGGTATGGTATGGTATGGCATGGCATGGCATGGTATGGTATGGGTTGGGTTGGCCCTAAAGGCGAGGTCAAGCCTCAAATCAAACCTCGAGCTCCGACTCGCGATCGGTCTCATCGCAGTCGTTGCTCGCTGAGTGCTCGAGGGCTTGGCGCCCGAGCTCACGGTCCGCGGGGAGGTCACTCGCCCACAGCCCGAAAGTTCGCAGCACCTCGGCTCGTCCTCCCAGGTCGGTCCCTCCCCAAGCCCCGCCCGTCCTTGGCTGCACATCGGCAGGCAGCGGGGCCGCCAGGGAGGGGGGGTGGAGAGCGCCTCGGCCCGCTCCTCCAGCACGGTGCGCAGCGCCAGCAGCACAACGTGAGGCTTGTCAAGCCTGAGGTCTCTGACGCGCGTCCGCTTGCCGTCAGAGGACACGGTGTCACTTGCAGCAAGGAAGGATCGAGGAGATTGGGGGGCCACATCCAAGCACATCAGCCTGGAGCAACGCGTGGCCACGCCGCCGAAGGGAAACACGTGCAAACTCCTGCCACCCCTCGCCCACCCCGTACACGATGTGGTGCGACGGACCTGAAAGCTCGGTCCAACTTCCTGACGGGCTCGGTCTCTGGTCGGGCTTTAGAAGCTCGGGGTCCACAGCGTCAGCCTCGGGGCCCCGCGAGCGCCAATTAAGTCTACATCAGGTCATCATGGTCGAGCTCCTCAGAATGGATGTGAACGGTGACGGCCCAGCGGGCCGCTTCGGCCGCAAGATCTTTGAACCCGCGACGGAGTGATCCCTACCCATACCGTGCAAGGCCGCACCCTGCTTCGACACGCGGTCCGCGTGGACGTTACCCTTCAACCGCCACGCCATGGCTTCCCCCACGTGGACATGCGCCTGGGCGCAGTGGGCCTTCGTCTTCAGAACTTGGAAGTCGTCCCTGGTGAACGCTTACAGGATTCCAAAGATGGGCCATCGCGCAACTGCTTGAGTTTCCTCCTCCCGCGCCAAGGCGCAGAGCCCCGCCAGAGCCTGCACAGTCGACGAACACACCGAAAAGAGCCAGAGTACTGAGACGCAGCATCGCGCTGTCTGCGTGGGGCAACAGCTGATGGGCAATGGTCCGCACGCAGCTGCTACTAGTTCCCCGAACTCACTGGTCTGAACGATGGGCCTTCCAGCTCGAGCTAGCAAAAGAACGTCGGCCCATAAGACCGAGCCATCGGCAAAAAGAGTTCCAGTCAGTAGACCCAGGCCTGGCTTGTTGTACCAGTGGATGCGCTGCTCGGGCTCCACTAGCACCGGGAAGACAAACTCAGGCGACTGGAACAGGTCTCGAGCGAACCTCCCGCCCATTCCGAAGCCCTACTCCTTCACCCTGGAGGCCGTCATCTTGTAGAGCCTATTAGAATTCCCACGGCGCAACACGTCGTGGTTGAGACATCTGTAAGCCCTGTGCCAAAGCGACCCATCAGGACCCCCACACGCGACGTTCATGAGAGCTCGCTAACCCATGCCGACGTAGCCGAACCTGCGGCCAATGCCCTCCAGAAACCACCGATCGCAACGTTCTCTGATGCCGCTTCGTCCAGAGCCCATGAGAACGATGAAGGAGCCTCCCAAAACCATCCCAAAACAGAGGCAGAGACTGAACTGCTTCCTGGCCCCCGCGCTGCAAGGGCCTGTTTGTCGGAGGCTCGTCTCGCACCTGCTTCCGCCAGTTGCTGGACCAGCAGGGGCGACACGTGCCGGAGGTCGAGCACCTGCTGCTTATCCGTTGTAAGACGAGCCTCAGGAATCGACTAGACGTGTGACCTTTCGCCGGAGTGACCTCTGGTGCGGGCACAGATGGGTCCCCAGACGGTTAAAAACGAGGCAGTAGCAGCTGCTTGCGCGCCCAAGTTTGGTCCCCCCGCGGCCCCCCAAAAGTCGCGCACCAAAAATCACTCTTACCCAGGGTCGCTCCTGCGTGTAGCCGAAGGAAGCATGGGTCCATCCAAGTCTCTGAAAACTGAGCACAGCGATCTCTGCAGGAGACGCCGCCGCAGCCCAAGGCGACCGCAACGACTTCAGCTTGTCTTTTCGCGCCCTCCAGGCACTTGTCCAAAACTGCTAACTTCGGGAAAGACTCCCAGGCCGACGCCGACCACGGGAACGACATGAGGTCGATCCTGGGGCCCTCCTTGTAGTTGTAGAGCCGCAGTCCTGCCGTTGAGCCTCTCGGAGCTCGTCCTAGACTGCCCAACGCCCCAAGACGCAGCGCCGTCATCCTTATGGGCGGGATCTCCATGATACTGGAGCACCGCCGGACTGTGGCCGCTGGGGCCGCACGCTGTACCTGAGTCTTGTTGGCCCCAGTTCGCTGAAATT